GATACTCGACGAGTAGAAAGGAGAACAACAGGGAAAATTGGGGAGGACGTCTAGACTCGCCGAGTCGCCTTTGCACTCGACGAGTCCGGTCAAGTTGACCGTTGACCAGAGTTGACCTGCATGTAATTCTTAGGGTCAGTTGTCTTGAATGATAAGAGTATTAATAAGGGTATATGGTATTATAGGGAGTCTGCAGATCGGCGGATCGAGTGCGAGTAGTTTCAAGAGTTGATAGCTTACATTACCACGAGGTGAGTCTTCTCACTATACTGTACCCGGAAGGGTTTGACTGTGTGACCGGAAGGTCGGATATGTTATGTGTTATATATATGCTATAATTGAAAGGAATAGTTGCTATGCATGCTATGTATGTTTCTATGGGCCGGAAGGCAATGTATTATGTGACAGGAAGGTCAGGTATGATATATGATATATGTGATATATGTGTTAGAGTAAATGTATTATGTGTTATATATGTTTATGGGCCGGAAGGCAATCATGTTATGGGCCGGAAGGCAATTATCTTATGGGCCGGAAGGCAATTATCTTATGGGCCGGAAGGCGATTATCATATGGGCCGGAAGGCATTGTACTGTGGACCGGAAGGTCCGGGCCTGGAAAGGCGTATATGTGTAAGTGGTATACTGGGGAACTCACTAAGCATTTATGCTTACAAGTTGTTATGTATGTGTTTCAGGTACTAGCGAGGACCGTGGGAAGGCGCCGGCATGATGCATACACACTGCTGCTATTTGAGATCTTGGGGATTTTACATATGTATTTGTTTTGAAACATGAAATAAATATTATTGGTTGAATGAACTCACTTTATTTAAAATGAAAAATTTATTTGAAAATTTGCGTTGTTACAATTGGTATCAGAGCCTTGGTTTGAGGGATTCGGGTGTACCTTCGGGTGTAACTGAACTCAAACCGAGGATTTGAGGAAAAATCTTTTAAAAATAATAAATACATAAACTTTTATAAATGGTAAAGTGGTAAACAAGAAAGACGCAGTGTGTACGATCAGCCAGCGCCCGAACGGTAAAGATCCCCAGAATACCTTACAATGTTATGTTATGCACTGAATTATGAATTGTTATGCATGCTAGAAGACTAGGTATACATGATAGGACTAGAATGGCCTGTTTTGTGATGCCTTAGTCTAGGGAGGTTGCTTGTATGAGATATTCGGTAGCGTGCAGGTAGATAGTGCATACGAGAAGTAGAGTACTCACTATTCGGGGTTTGGGGAGGAAGATTTGGGACGAATACTGACACGGTGTGGTCGGTGGTATTGGGCCCGTACTACCGAAGACACCGGGTCGGTGGAAGACCCAAGTAAGAATCCCTGGATATCGGAGACTGAGTAGGGTTGCGTTATCGAGTACAATTGTACTTGATGGAGTCTCTGATAATTTTATGTTGTATTTCAGAGACATCATGGTTACGACACGCCACGGAGCGAGTTCGAGCAGTATGAGTGACGAGGAGATTCGTCAGATGATTCAGGAGGAGGTAGCTGCGGCGGTTCGGGCTGAGATCCCGGAGATGTTTGGGTCCATTAAGACCACCCTGATGGAGGAGTTTGAGGAGCGGTACGCCGCACTGACTGAAGCTGCAGTCGCTGCCGCTACCGCAGCTGTGGCCGCTGCTAGGCCGCAAGGGGGTGATTCGTTGCTATTCCGGGAATTCAGCAACACGAAACCCCCTGAGTTCGATGGGACGCAGGATCCGATTGCTGCGATGAGGTGGATCGCCGATATTGAGGGGTGCTTCTACACTTGTTCATGCCCGGAGCACCTGAGGGTACGGTTCGCCTTGAACCAGCTCCGTCTGGGAGCGAAGGATTGGTGGAAGTTCGTGACGGCGAACTTCACTCAGGCGGAGATTTCAGCGGTGACATGGGAGAGGTTTACTGAGATGTTCAGGGACGAGTACGTTCCCCAGTGGAGAGGGAACGATTGATCCAGGAGTTCTTGACCCTTAAGCAGGGTACTGATTCCGTTGCGGTGGTTACACGGAAGTTTCATGAGAGGGCGATGTTCTGCCCCGAGTTGGTGTCTACAGAGCAGTCACGGATGAGCCGGTACTTGGGCGTGTTGAGGAGGGATATCCGGGAGTTTGTGTCAAACTCCACCTATCGTACTTTCACTGAGCTTCAGGCGAATGCCAGGAAGCGCGAGATCGAGTTGGAGACCCAGGCCAGGGAGGAGGCCGAGTCTCGGCAGGTGGACCGGCGACCGGCTCAGTCTCAGCCGGCAGCCAAGCGGTTCAAGTCCGCTGATTCGAGGACGGGAGGTTCGAAGGGCCGCACTTGCGGAAAGTGCGGCAAGAGTCATGAGGGGGCGTGTAGAGCGGGTGGTTGCTACAAGTGTGGCAAGGAAGGACACATTGCCAGGGATTGTCCTAAGGGGTTTATGGTTTGCTTTCATTGCAACCAGACAGGCCATCGGAAGGCCGAGTGCCCGCAGCTTCGTCAGGGATCTACACCTACTACCAGGACTACCGAGACACGACCGGCGAAGGTCGAGGCTCCGAGGGCTCGCGGGAGAGCCTTTCAGCTGACTGCGGAGGAGGTCCGCGCTGCACCCGATGTTGTGGCAGGTATACTGTAATTCGCGTATTTATTTAAAGTTGAAATGTTATGCTTATGTTAATATATGTGTAGGTACTTTTATTGTGAACTCTATGCCTGCTCTTGTGTTATTTGATTCGGGTGCGAGTAGATCCTTTGTATCTTTAGCTTTTAGTCAGCATATCAGCATTAGTCGTGAGCCGTTAAGTCGGCCTCTGAGCGTTTCTATAGCGGCCGAGAGGGTGGTTTGTGCTACGGAGGTTCTTCGGGGATGCGTGCTAGAGATTTTTGGGGTTGCGTTCCCGATTGACCTAATTCCTATTGCGATGGGTGATGTCTGTGTCATCGTGGGCATGGACTGGTTGAGCCGATTCAGCGCCGTCATCGACTGTGAGCGCCAGCTGGTGACTATACGAGACCCTAGTGGGGGAGTTCTTACGGTGTACGGCGAGGGTACCCGTTCGGGATCAGCTTTTTGTTCGGCCGCTAGGGCGAGGCAATGTCTACAGCAGGGATGTAAAGGTTTTGTGGCGTATGTGATGGATACGCGGGAGGCTTCCGAGAGACCGAGGACAGTGGAGGAGGTACCAGTGGTGCGCGAGTTTCCAGATGTCTTTCCCGAGGATTTGCCGGGAGTACCTCCTGCGAGGCAAGTGGAGTTTGGTATCGATCTGATTCCGGGGGCTGCGCCTATTGCGAAGGTGCCTTATCGTCTTGCACCTCCAGAGATGCAAGAGTTGTCCTCGCAACTCCAGGAGTTGCTGGGGAAGGGATTTATTCGGCCGAGTAGCTCGCCGTGGGGAGCACCGATTCTATTCGTCAAGAAGAAGGATGGTTCACACCGGATGTGTATTGATTACCGGGAGTTGAACAAGGTGACGGTCAAGAACCGCTATCCGTTACCGAGGATCGATGATCTATTCGATCAGTTGCAAGGGGCATCTTGGTTTTCCAAGATCGATCTGAGATCAGGGTACCATCAGGTAAGAGTGCGGGATGAGGACGTCCAGAAGACAGCATTCAGGACGCGGTATGGGCATTACGAGTTCGTGGTGATGCCTTTTGGGCTCACCAATGCCCCGGCAGTGTTCATGGACCTCATGAACAGGGTATGCAGGCCGATGCTGGATCGGTCTGTGATTGTATTTATCGACGACATCCTAGTATATTCGCGAACTAGAGAGCAGCATGAGAGACATTTGAGGGAGGTCCTTGAGGTACTGAGGTCGGAGAAGCTATATGCAAAATTCTCCAAATGTGACTTCTGGTTGCGGGAGGTCCAATTTCTTGGACATGTTGTTAATCAGGCAGGGATATTGGTCGATCCGGCCAAGGTGGAAGCAGTGATGAGTTGGGAGGCACCGAAGTCACCTTCCGAGATCAGGAGTTTCCTTGGGTTGGCGGGGTACTATCGGAGGTTTATTAGGGACTTCTCCAAGATCGCAGTACCGCTCACCAGGTTGACCCGGAAGGGTGTTACATTCTCATGGGGACCCGAGCAGCAGATTCCTTCGAGACACTTCGTCAGAGATTGTGCGAAGCCCCGGTGTTAGCTCTCCCGGAAGGGATGGAGGATTTTGTCGTATATTGCGACGCATCGATTTCGGGACTGGGTGCGGTGTTGATGCAGAGAGGTCATGTGATAGCTTATGCGTCGAGGCAGCTGAAGCCTCATGAGGCGAGATATCCCACACATGATTTAGAGTTGGGGGCAGTGGTGTTCGCTCTCAAGATATGGCGTCACTACCTGTACGGGGTTCGTTGTACTATATACACGGACCATAAGAGTTTGAAGTATTTGATGGATCAACCCAACCTAAATATGCGTCAGAGGAGATGGTTGGACGTGGTTAAGGATTATGACTGTGAGATCCTATACCACCCAGGCAAGGCTAATGTGGTAGCCGATGCATTGAGTCGTAGAGCGGAAAGCACTCCATTGCGAGACGTATGTTTGAGACTGACAGTGATGACCCCGATATTGGATGCTATTCGTGGGGCGCAGGCCGAGGCTGTGAGATCCGAGATGCAGAAGAAAGAGAGAGTCGTTGGGTTAATTTCAGAGTTCGTTAAGGATGGACGAGGACTTTT